TAGGGGCATCGTGGGATGCCCAAGTGACACTGAGCAACACCTCGGTGCCTAATTTCTGAGATTCAAACGTGTTTGTTCAGCCTGGCGAAAGCAATAGAGAGCTGATTCGCAGGAAAATATGGTTTCTTACAGCACCGAGCAAGGAGCAGTACCAGAACCCAGGATCCCTCTCTGCGTGATTAGAGATCTCACAAAATTTTTTCAGTATTTCTTTATACTCAAGCATTTGATCCTCACTACAAACTGTTTTGAGGGAGAAACAACAGACAGGAACATATGTTGGAGACAGAGCATTCTATTTCAGCTCTTGACTAATTAATTAGAGAACAAGATGCCCATTTTGTAAGCCACAGCCTTTGCTTTCTCCTCAAATGCACCCGTTACCAGCTCTGCCTGGCTGACTCTGGAGGTAGATACAGATAAAATCAGCCTGGCCAGCCAGGATGGCAGCTCCTGCTCCATGCCTGGCACTTCAGAAAGCCTTTTGCAGAAAATGGTACTTATATCTAGCACAGTGCTTCACTCATCACCATAGCAAAAGCAAAGCAAACACCAGTTTCCCTAGAAACTGCATGTGGCAAGGCATGTTGACTTTAAGGGAGGGGAAGGTTCCTAAATAGGAGAGTCCTGGGTGCAGAAGAGTGAATGTGCTGCAGGTAGGGAGAGGGGACAGGGCATGTCCCAGGCACACATGGACCAAGGTGGCTGGAGTGGGGCAGGGACCCCCAGGAGAGTCTCTCGTGGCCACTGTCCTGCTGAACATGCTCAGTGCAGTGGCAAAGACTGCCTTGTGGCAGAGGCAGCAAGTCTCTGTGGTTGGGTGTCCCAGAGTGCACAGCTTCACTGAGCACAGCTGGTCACCAACAGCTCACCAACCCCAGCATGGGTGGAGTGATGCAGACCAGGTGGTACAACAAGGGCTGGGCTTGCTGCCGCTGAGGCACACCTCCACTTTGCATTCAGAGCCCCAGAAAACAGGCAAATTAGAGCAAGGGCCTTTGGGTTTCCTTCTCCAGGGCTTCCTGCTAGGAGAGGCAGCTACCACTGCAGCCTTCAGCTGTGTGGCCTTGGGTGCTATTTCTGGCTCCTGCCAGAAACCACCTGCCTTAGAGATGGAACCTCAGGACTGTTGAGTCTCTTCTATTTATAACCACACAAGCTCCTTCAGGGCAAAGGGAGTAACTGGTGCTGGGGAAAATGAATCCGAAGAAGGCATTGTCCAGCGATGAGCACTTAAGGCAATGTATGCCAGCCACATACCAAGCTGCATGAGTAAGGGTGAAATCAGCAAGGTGAGGGAGTTGGTTATTCCCTTCTATTTAGTGCTCGTGAGGTTGTATCTGGAGTACTGTGTCCAGTTTGGGTCTCTCAACAGAGCTTGATCAAGTGGAACAAGTCTGACAAGGGGGCCACTGAGACAGCTGGGAGCTGCTTAGAGCATGTCACTAGGAGGAAAGACTGAGGGACCTGCTCAGCCGCCAGAAGAAACCATAAGGGGGCTTTTGTCTATTAACTAAATGGATGCTATAGAGAAGATGGGACCAGACTTCTCTTAGAGGTACACACTGAAAGGTCACAGGAATGACAAGAGAAATTGCAATAAGGGAAATTCTGATTAGACATAAGTTTAAAAAAGATACCAGTGAGGGTGGTCAGACACCAGCACAGGGACCCTGAAAAGCTGTGTGATCTTCACCTTTGGAGATATTCAAAGCTTACCTCTAATCTGGTCTAGCTTTGAGTTGAGCCTTCTTCAGGGCTTCTGCCTGAAGACCTGCTAGACTAGACCTCTATAGAGGTCCCATCTGACTGAAGCCTTTGTGTCTGTAATACTGCTAAACCTACTAAAATGTAGGAAAGATCTGGAAATGAGGAAGAACTCTCTTTCTCAGAACCACCAGCTCCCTGCATGTGTGTGAGCTTATGCTTTGAAGGGAACTTGGGACAGAATAAAGCAAGAGGCATTCCATGTGTTACCCACACATGACGTTCACACTGGCAGCTTTTAGATCGCACATTTGTCTTTACGAAGCTGCAAAGCTCCCTGGGGATTGTGTGTGTGGAGGAAAAGAGTGTAAACTAAGCAGCCCACCTGGCCCAATGGAAATGTAGGGGATTTAATGCTGCCTCTTGCTCCTCTGGGTGTTGTTCCCCTCAAGGTGCTGCTCACGGGCTGTAGTGCAGCTACTTGGGATGGCTGAGGGAGACTGTGCTCACAGCTGTTCACTTTGCCTCTATCAGGGCCAGAAAAATGGTAGCTGTTTCTCCTCTTCAGCTGCCTTTTTTCTGGTCCAGTATGATGAGACACACTGAAACAGACAGTCTAGGGTTTGTGTGGGAGGAGGTGACTGCTGTCACTGGGCACTGGCCACACCATCTGCAATGTCAGCCCTGTTGTGGGACAGTCAGTCACCTTTGACAAAGGAACAACATGCACAGTTGGACCAAAAGTTGCCACATTCAAGATATGACCCTGTGATTCTGTTCCTTGGGGAGCAGATCTGATTAAAGTGATCCCCTGACCCTGTGACTCTGGAGAGAGTAGCCCCAGCTGAAGAAGGGGGACTCACTTATGACCCCTGTGCCACAGCAAGAGCTACAGGACTTGTGGGGAGAGGGTGAATGCCTCCCAAAGAAAACATCTTGTTTGGCAGCTTGGCACCAGCTGCTGGAAGGGGAGCTTTTTGGCAAACCGGGGAGCATTTGGGAAGTAAACCCTGCAGGGTCCTTCCCCATTCCAGGCTGTGGCACCACTGACCTGTGTCTATGCTCCAAGGGTTTATTGCACCATTCATGTTCACTCCTGGCCAGGCACGTGGAGCCCTACAGCCCTGGCAAGGCCATGGAATGGTGACCCTGAAGGTCCTGGGACTGAGCAGTGTTTTTGTCATTCTTTGCTCTTTTCCCATGACACCCCTGACCTGAAGTTCAGCAGAGTTTATCCTATCTCCTGATAATCCTGGCTGCTTTCATAATCCAAGTGTGCTCTGTGCCAACCCTTCTCTGGTGTGCACATTTCTGATGCTCTATTCTCCTTGAACAGGGAGAGGAGGGACCAGAAACCAGAGGGCCCTGAAGGCAGCATACCTGCAACCACCACCACTAAGGGAGCCCTTTGCAGGAGAGTGGGTAGGGATGAGCCTTACTGGATTTACAGGCCTTCCAGTGAGCAGATTTTAAGAAAAAACAGCACAAGGATTAGACAACCTTCCTACCTCCTCAATTCACCTGCCCCTTTTGGGCCTAGTCTGTCTGACCCCACCAGTTTAGATTTCCCTGGGATGTTTGTGTGTGTGACTAAGTGGCCAACTGGTTTGGTTTAAGATCAATTATAAGGAGAGAGGAAACTGCTGTTTTCCCAAAAGTCTCTCCTGAGGTGTGAGAAATATTCAGAGCAGCAGCACCCCTTTCCTACTAGTGCCAAGTTGCACATAAATTCATATTTATTTTGGCATTAAATCAGCCCTCACCCAAAGCTGCCTTAATATTGAAGAAGTGCAAAATAGCTCTGCGCAGATTAGTATTTCTGTCATTACAGAGGTTTAAAAAAACTACTCTAAAAGGCACTGTAAATCCGTGGAAGGAGATTTTCTTTCTCTGCCAAGCAGCATACACAGTAACAGCCAAGTAATCAAGAAAATCACCATGCCCTGGATCGATGGGAGTGCATATGGTGTCTCTCATCCCTTCTAGTTCTGCTCCCTCTGGGGGCCAAGGTGCATTGGGAGGCACTTTCTGTTCTGTGGCAGTTGGTGAAGGAGTCAGTAAGTGCCTGGGTTATGGAAAACACGCACGGTGAGAGCACATTTCACACTTATTTCTCCCGTTAGTCTGTCCCTTTGCTGTACCAGACTCCACTGAAGCAGAGCAGCTGGCTGTTTCAACACATTTTTGAATCATCCTGGGACATACTCTACCTACATTTAAGCCACCAATGACACCACATCTACTTGAAAACCTAATTTCTTTAAAGTTTGTTGTTTCAAGCACATCCCTCCTACCTTCAGTCTGCAAGTCAAGAATTTGCATCATGGCTTCACATACCCCTTTTCCCAGCCTCCTTCACAGTGTTACTTTAGCATCCTTGAGTTTTCTCTCCCATCCTATGTTACACCTGTGGACTGTTAGGTAGAAGGGAGGAGGGGAGTTAGCATTATTTCCACCTCAAATTAACTAGAAAAAGGCAAGTTATCCTATGACACATTTCAAACCAATCCTTAGGAGGGCTCTTTTTCATGCCAAGTGATTCAGAAGCCACAAATGTCCCTCTGTTGCCCTTCAGTGCTGGTAGGAGGAGTGGGGAAGGCCCAGGCTGACATACTCTAGACAGCTGTGCCTGAGGAAAGGGGTTTCCTTGCCAAGAGCATATGGACATGTGGTAGCATAACATACCATGTAAAATCTCATGGAAGAGGATCCTCTAAAAAGGGAGACTATAGCCTCATACCATCAGGTGGTTCAAAAATTATTATTATCATCATCATCTTCAGACATAATTATTTTGCTTTGATATTGTTTTCTACTTTCAAATAAAAATATTACATATATTAAGAAAATAAGAAAGACATCTTTCTACAAACTGAATACATACCTCCTTTCCTGTTCTTGATTGTGGAAGTACCCAACAAGACACAAGAGAATAAATACAGGCGTATTGACACAACAGATACAGACACATGCAGTGATGAAAAGTTCACGTCTTTCCTCTGGCATTTGCTTTCCATGGCTTGGTTTTATATTTTTTCACTTCTTAAGCACCTCTAACATTGAATCAACTTTCTTCATTCCAGAAAAGTAGAATGAAGCTACTAACCCTTCTCCTGCACTCTCAAGCAGCTGATCTTTTGTCCACAGTGACAGCTTCGAAGAAGCCAGGATCTCTTTGCCATTTTTGCTCCAAGTGCAACCCCCCAGGTAGCCCACCCCAACCCATGGAGAGCTACTGGTGCTGCCACTCCACCGCCCATTAGAGGAATCACACTCCCAAGGCAGAACACCAGTTTCTCATAGGCTGTTTGGGTTTTTATTAATTAAATATTCCACATACAAAGTACTAAATAAATACATAGCTGTGTCAGACACCAGTGTACCATACACACCCACTTGGAGAGCTCTCTGTAGTTATATATGAAATATCATGGAAAGCTATTTAGCAAACACAAACCAGGCTACAGAATGATTCAACTCTGCAGACTCATTGCTCATCATCAGGGTGCAGTCCACACACATGCACGCACGCACACACACACACACACACACACAGACGTGCACATGCTCATGCTCACTCACACCTGGGAAGAAGGGTGCCCGCCCTCTGTAACCTGGCTGCTTCGGAAATGTTTGTGTTAATGCCATGGACACACTCAGAAGGAGGCAGAGCTCCAAGATTAAATCCCACCAGGGTATTGCAAGGAGATGTATGGAAGAAGTTTTGTCTTCATGGATCCACAGCCTAGAGTGGCAGGGGTGAGAAGGGACCCAAACCCCTCGTCTGCGGGGTTGGGCTCCCCCTGGGGAGTGGGGAGCACGAGGCTGGGTCACGTGGTCAGGGATCAGAGTTAGGCTGATGCTTAAGTGCAAACTGGAAAATGTGTCAGGGTAAATAGCTGTAGCTCTTTTTATGTCTTTAAATTTTCTTCCCCCTCTCCACCATGGTCCCTAGATGATGAAGACGGTGTTGGAAGCAATTATGAAAATGAAAAAAGGAATACTCTCTCTCTCTGTCTATCTCTTCTATACTGATCTCTAGAGGAGAGCCAGGCAGGGCTGGGAGTGGGCACAAAAGTAACAGTGGATAGATAAGGGTGTCCTCAGTAGTACCTCAGATGTTTTCATGGTGGGGGCAGGAATAGGGGATGTGTAGGGCTGATGCTCCTGGTCCTGCCTCTACTCCTGTCAGATGTGGGGTGCAGGCATACCCACAAGCTGATTAAAGCAAGTCCTGTCTGGGGCAGAGCCAGTTACAGACCCAGCTGATGATCTTCCTGCTTCTCTAGCCTTGCAGCATTCCTGCTGAAAATAGGCCAGGACGATCCTCTGTCAGAAGAGAGAAGCTCCATTCCACGGAAACACAGAATGAGCAGGGACAGGATGGCCGGAGCAGTGTCTGAAAACTGTGTTTGAAAAATGAGAGGGGGCTATGGGGGAAAGAGGGGGAAAGAGGACTCCTTTCCTGTTTTGCTGGTGTGGGTTGACCGTCTCTTCTGAAGGATCATCTCACTTGTGACCACGTGGCCCACTCACCATGCCTTTGCTGGTGGGCACAGTCTCTTTGCTCCCCGTGGAGCTGCTACATGGGGCTTTTCCCACCAGTGTAGTCATGGTATGGGCTCGTCCGGGCCTTGGGGCGAGGGATGGAGAAATCATTCTGGGGGTTGATGGCCTGAAAAAGAAGCACAAAAGTCTTTGCCTTTGAAAACTGGAGAGAAGTAACAGAAAAGGGCTTAAAAAGAAAACAAAGGAGGGGAGGGAGAAACAGAGCTGAAGGTTTCATGAGAATGTGATCAATGAGGCTGTGAAAGAGGATCCTGGCAGAACAAATCAGTGATGGAAACGTCACCAGAGGACACGTGGGGATCTGATGTGAGCTACTAGACCTGGCTAGGCTGTGGTCTGAAGGAGGAATGGTGAATGGACAGGTGGACATGCAGACTGCCCATACTAGATCTGTACTGCAATGTCCAGTGTCTGCTGGTGGGAATACATTCAGGGCATGGGCTGGGGAAATAAGCACGATCTCCTTAGGAAAAGGTACAGTCTACTGCAGGAACTGTGCTCAAAAATATGATATCAAAGCCTGAAATATTAAAAACTACAACCTCAGACTTTACCTTGGGCCCCTTCTTGTGTTCCAATGTCCCTGGACATGTCACAGTTCCTTCCCCTCAGTCACAGGCACCTCCACGAACATGTCATGGTATGACTTGGCTCCATGCAAAGCACCTGCCTGCCTCCACAGAGCCTGCTCTAGCTCCATCTGTCTTTGTCCCTTCTACTTCCTTGGCCTTCAGTGCCTACATATCATGAAAAAAATGACAGGGGACATGAACTTACCTTCATCTGAAAGTGAGAAGTGTATGGGGAGTAGCTGGGGTCTTCTGTGTTTCCTGGGTCACAAGACAAGAGGAAGGGAAAGTTAGTGCATCAGCATTATACAGTAGCTTGGAAATACCACATCAAGGGATACTCAAAGTGGCTACATTAGCAGCTGCTTTTAGACTCATCCAACTATGCAATACGTAGACAGGAATGGGTTAAAATCCATAGGTGGATGACTTACTAAATATTTCCTTCTGAAAGCAGGAATGAATGGTATTGCAAATAAGAGGACACAGGTGGCCTTGGAGTTTAGACACCTCCTGTTGCCTCACAATAACTGTCACCATCACCAGCCAAATCCCTCCCACTTGTATGCACAAGACCCCCTCTGCAGTATTCCCTGCGAGAGCCCAACTTTTCTTGTGTGCTTAGGGATGGGAGTCATTCACTTTATCATACCTTGCAGAATTTCATCTTGGGTGTAGGCACGGTTGTCCACGCCAGTTGCCTGCTTTATGAATTTAGGTTGGCAGAAGTCATTTTCTGGAGGGTAGTCCTCTGCCTTCAGAGGAGCAGTGAGGAAGCAAATTTCAGGGACGATATACATTATCAGAAAAATCCAGCCATTGGACACCAGAGCAATGGCCACGACAGGATCATCCCAGGTTTCTTTTTTTAAAACTGTGTTGCCTTTTATGAGCATAGTGATCCACACCACCCAAATGGCAATGGAGAACAGGACAGTGACAAAGATGTGCGCCCCATGCCTCTTCCAGCTTTTGTATGACCCACAGAATGTGAACATGGAAACCAAGAAGGTCAGAGCCATCAAGAAGAGCACGTAGATCAAAAGCATGACAAAGTCCTTGTTGGTATCCTCCCGAGACATAGTCAGAAAATTTTCTTTCTGGTTTACTAGCATGGTGACTAAGTACTCAATACTGATCACAACTTGTACCAGGGCAAAGGAAACAATGAGAAGCAGCAGCACCCGCCAGGAGAAGGGCTTTCTTCCTCTCACTAGTTTGCTGAGGTTGCAGGCATGGGTGAGGAGGCATGAGAAGCAGAGAGCAAAGATGACTCCAAATAGGAAGAAGCGAGTGGGGCGAGTCCTGTCATTGAGTTTAATGATGAAGGCAAAAGTGAGACCAAAAATGCCGAGTGTGCCTAAGAGAAAGAAAAAATAGACGGAGATCATGTGCCGCTTGCTGTTGTCTTGGACTTTGCAGATGAGAAAAAAGAGCGAGCAGATGAGGAAGATGGTGATGAGGATGCCTGCTGCAGCCAGAGACTCCAGGACAATCCCCCAGGCCATCTCTGTGTCACAGAGCCGGTAGTAGTCAGCATGGATGCTGCCGCACCCTTGGGGAGGTGACGTCGTCATCCTCTTGCCTTCTTGAACAACCTCTCTGAGAAATGTTTCCCCAAAGCTGTAGAAGAAAAGACACAAGCTGTCATATCAACCATCTGGGTGCTGCCAGCATTGGGGCAGGAGAGGCAGGACAGACCTCCATCCTCACCTCACCACAGTGCTAAGGACATGGGGCTGTGGGAGCAGAGCCATCTCCTTGTTTGGTATAGACTATCACGGGCAGGCCAAGCCCCTCAGCAGGAGGTAATTCACCTTGCATGTCCTCTGCACTGTGCCTGAGGTTGTGCAATGTTGTAGGAGTGTGGGGAACAGGGAGAAGGTGAGGCGCTTTCACAGGCATTAGCTTGGTGCCCTGCAGTGCAGAGACCAAGCTGCCTTGTCACTTTAGAGATAGAAGAGCAGCTCTTAGTCATAACACAGTTTACCCTTTTTTGACAAATCCAAACAACATCAGTACCTTGTACCCATGAGGTTCAGAGATGAACAACACAGAACAGGAAACTCATTATTCCGTTTGTTTTCTTTCTTTTACTGTCTCTGAAGCACTTTTGGCTGTGGTTTACCAGGACAAATGAAGAGGGAACTTTAATGCCTTTACTATTATGAGTGAAGGGGACCTTACCACCTTTTATCCTCAAGATAACTAACCCGGGTACCTCTGGCTTAGCTCTTCTCACTCCAAATTAAATATCAAATATAGGCCACCAACCATTAGCCCTAAACTCATTATTTCTCCTTTTTCACGGCAGTGCAGCAATAAGAAGTGTCTCGAAGACCTCAGTCTCCTCCCCAAAATATTGCCTTGCACTGACTAAAGACCTGACACGTCAGAGCTAATGCTGTTCGTTGCATGAGAAGTAACCACCAAGTTACCACTTAAGGAGTCCACAAGTCAATGATGTCAAGGTCCCTAATGCACCCAGCGCGTTCCTGCTGTCTCCTCATAAGGATCTCAGTGCTGTCTGAGTAAGCCTGTCTTGCCAGGGGATACAGAGGGCTTAAGACAGCTGTTGAGGTGAGCTCTGCCCATCGCTAAGGGGAATTAAGTTTCCTATTTCCTTGGGAGCTTGAAGCATATGCAAAAACTACTGCACAAGGGGTTGGGTACTTCATGCCACATTAGATCCCAGGGACCAGGTACTGCTTTCTAGACATCAAATTGATCAGTTAGTCTCAGGTCACTTCTATTAAATCTATTAAAACAGGAGTTTAAATACAATAACAGAATGAAACATGGGTGAACCTGTGCTTAAAGGTGACCCATGCTGGAAAACCAGGGGCTTTCTGATAGATAAACAAAAAAAATGAACCTTTCAAAATTTAGACTTTAGTGCTCACTATGGCATTTGCCTTCATTTTCTCCCTCCAGAACAACATATTGCAATTATGAAGCTGGTTCTAAAGCCCTTCCAACAGATTTTAGGGAGTGCAGATTGTGTTCTCAATAAATGACAATTGATCTAATCAAGGGATGAACAAAGGGTGAAAATATAACTGACTCACTTTCAGCCCCACATATGCTCCAGTGTGACCTGCCTATAACTGAACTGATGGAATATTCTTCCAGCTTTTAACCTCACCGTGTAAAAGGAGATGTATAGCTCTTCAAAAAGCTGACTACAATAAAAATGCAAATTATTCAAACACGCAGGAACTTTGGACTCCCATGGAAAGAACACAATAAGTGTTAATAACACATGCATGAGTTTTCACAAATCATTATTCCCAAAATTTTGGGGATTTTTCTCTCGCACAAATAGCTGCGAGTTATCTGGATATTTCTGAGTAACAAATAATGAACCTTTCTGAAAATCTGTAGAGCAAATGCTAAAATTTTATCCACAGACACTTGCTATTGAACAGATTAGCTTATCTATTCACAGCTCTGGCAGATACGGACCGGTGCTTGCTGTTGAGGCACGTGGAGAACCCAGAGAGCCAGCATGAGACCTCATGGCATCAGGGAGCACACCCATCGCTTTGAGTCCTGACTGGTGCTTACTGCAAATGATGCTTTCCACAGCCAGCCACCACGGTCATTGGAACAAATAGGATGGATAGAACCTTGCTGACTTGGGGAACTGGCCACTTGTGACCATTTTTACTGCTTTTTATTTTTTTCTAGGGTAGATCATCTAACGAGGCATGATGAGGCATGAAGCATCTCAGCCCTATCTACCGGGTGATTGTTGTCTCCCAGAAGCCGAGTCTGCTCATCCAGCATCTAGAGAAGTGTCTAGGAATTCCAAGGGGTTCTGCAGTCAGTGTGAAGGAACCTGTGCTGTGGTAACTTACACAGCACACCCCAAATCATGGCTCTCGGTTGACTGCCGAGTACTTTCCCTCCACCCTGACCCTCCTCTCTTATGGATACTTGTGCATAAAATACACCCATCCACCCACAAATTTCAAATAGTTTCACAGGACTGTCTCTCAGAATAACCCCACGCTCCTCCCGCTCCCCCACTCCCCCCAGCTCCAGTTGGAAATCCCATAACAGAGTCAAGAGTGGGAGGCACTCACTTCACTGTGGCATCCCATGCCCCTGCTCTCCCACCCCCCAGAGCCACGGTCCTGCATGCCATCCCATCCCAGCTGCAGAAGGCAGGCCTGCCCTGGATCCTGTGAAACACTGCCTTGAATTACCTTTCTGGGTCCTGCCTGGTGAAGGCAACAGGGAGGCTCCGTCTGCAAGAGGCAAGTTTCCAGTGCAGCAGTAACACAGGCACCTTCCGCAACCCCGGCAGAGCAGAAGCTCCGCGCTCACCCTCGGTGGGAGCTTTAACAGCTGGAGGGCTGAGGAGGTGGGGCCGAGCACGCCTATTCCAGTTCCACCGCCTCTCCCACAGGACACGGCTATGAAAATTCGGTCCCTGTGCCAGGAAATGAAGTAAGACCTCCTGACGTCAGTGGGGCACTCACCCCTGCGTCGGGGTGGAGATGGAGCCGGTGCCTGTCCCAGCCCTGGGACGGGACTGAATGCTGCTCAGTCAAGCACCTGATAAGGAGCTCCCCTGTCTGACTCCTGGCACCCGTGGGTGGGGACCGGGACTATGAATAGCAGTGCGTCCCCTCCCTGCTCCAAGCCTTTTGTCTCTTTGCGTGCTTTCTCACCAGAGAACTGGTTGCAAAGTGAGAGATGAGAGGCTGTGGGGTGCGAACGGGCCCACAGTGCCCTGAGGGAGAGTGGCTGCAAGCCTGGCTCCAGAGGTGGTTTCCTCGGAGCTCTTGCTTGGTGCTGCGACTGCATGTGGGGACTTGACTTGTCTGTTTGTCCCTTCCAGCTGTGCCAGCCGGCTCCTTTCCTGAAAAGGGCTGCTTGACTTTCCTTGTGTCTTGCTCAGCCCAGCCTTGCTCTCTGAAGACTCAGTTCTGTCTGCTCGCGAGCGCTGAGTCACTTTGTCGAAATTGCTGGCCCAAACAGTTAATGAACAAAGGCAGTGACATATTCCCCCTTGCTCTACATATTATGCCTCTGGCCCGACACACCTATCGGCACAATCCCATCCAAATCCTCGTGTATCTCCAACGTGTTCATGACTTCATTTGTTATTTTAAATATTACTCACTGGGAGTATTTTATTATACTGATTAAGAAATTGACATCAGGGCCTATCCACACCGAGCACTGTCCCTACACACAGCCCCTAAAACTTGGAAACACCTCCCACCTCGTGAGGTTTGTGCTCCGTTTCAAAAAGGGAGGAGCAGCTGTATATGCCTGTGCTGCAGCCTGACTGCCCACAGGTGCCTCATCTGCATGTTAATTTTGTTTGTTTGTTTGTTTGTTTGTTTGGTTTAGGGCTTCTGACTTACTTCTGGGTGCTGATTCTTTTTGAATATCACATGTGGAGATTGCCACAAGACACCTACAAGAGAGTCCTCTCTTCCACACCCCACAGAAGTACCCAAGGGCCTGCAGGGATGAATGGCTCACACAGTGAAAGGCAACGCTCAGTGCAGTCACTGTGAGGTGGGCCATGCTGAGCCCATGACAGTTCCTCATGTCCTTCCTACTTTTGTTTCAGTTTAAACTCCTGAGGCTTCTTAGGAAAGGGCATACCAGGTTTCTTTACATGAAATTAAACTTTAAGGTAGATCCTAGGCTTAGTGAGCCAGCCGAGAAGGAGGTAGTTATGAAAAATGAGGAGGAAAGAAAGAGTGATGGAGAGTTTAGCACCATCTCAGTGGGACTCAACCTGTCTAGAAAGACATCCCAAGAAGATTTCAAAGGTCACTGGTCACTGCCAGCCTATTTGCATCTTGTCAGAGCACATTATGGATTGCCAGCTACTTCTCTACATTTACACAGACACACAAAACCCCATGGAATAGACCCTGTCAAATTATATTGTGGGAAAAAAGAAGAAAAGATAAAAGCAACACTGACATTTTACCGAATGCCTGAGAAATCCTTGAGTGTCAGCCATCAAACATATCCTGTACTTTCAAAAGGCTGATAAATGGGGCTACATTTAAAAAAAAAAATCCCAAGTGACTTAGGAGCCTGAGGGCTGCTGACTCACAGTAGGTTAGTTTGAGACAGGGTGGCCATGGCTCTTATGCGGTGCCAGGAAAGGTGGAGGAGCATCGCAGGTCTACACAGGCAAGTACAAACGGCACAGTGATCACACCAAAAAGGTGAGATAACTGTCACCTCACTTTAGTGACGGGATGTAACTTGCAGAGGGAGGCATCTAAATTTAGATGTCTGATGGTTATTACCTAAATGTGAGCTGAGTGTCCCAGCTCCCAAACAGCCAAAAGGTCAGAAGGACTGTCCCAACTGATTGGACGCAGGTGCCTGTTTCTGTGTGCACTGAAATGCACCCAGGTGTGGTCGCCTGGAGTGCCTGGAGCCTCACATTAGTTGCTTGCACATTGGCGTAGTGTCATTTGAGATGCTGCAGGGTCTCCCGCCCAGCTTCCAGTGACCACTCCAGAATCTCTCTTACCTCTGTGTCAGATCTGGCAGTTCTGTGTAGATGTTTTGGATACCCTTAGGCATCTCAAGTCACCTTTGTAAGAGCAAATGCATTGCATGCTCAATCTCCACTTGCTGTTTCAGAGTTGAGATGCCCAGCTTGTACAGAGGTACCTAGATGTAGGTATCCACTATATGGACTTAATTCTGCTATATCAGCATAGATAAACAGTTCATTGAAGGTAATGTAACTCTGTTAATTGTTACTCAGTCAAGAGGAGAGGGATGGCATATAATTTATAAGAGCTGTGGGAAATGACCCTTCTGGAGCATCAACTCACACTGAATAACCCAGGGGACCTCCAATGACCCTAGGCACCAGTGTATTAATTGACTCCTAGGTGTCTACAGAGTGTCTAGACTTCCTCATCAGAGAGAATGCAGATTCCCACTATAGCTGGTGTAGAGAAAGAGGCACTTCCAGGGGAGTTGCTTCAGGACAAACCAAGTCACACCTGAGAAGTACCTGTTTCTTTAAAATAGAGATGGAGACAAGATAATGACTTGGGATACAGATCTTTACACTTGACAGAGGAATTGCATAGCAAATCTCCAAAATAATGTAAAGACAATCCAGTAGCAAAATGCTGGTAATATTGGAAGCCTCCTTTGCACGGGAGGCTGTTGGCAGCGAAACAGCTTGCTTTGGCCAAACTGCAGCCCTCGACAAGCAGCCTGGCTGCTGGTGAGTGGAAGGGAGCAGTGACTGTGGTTGACAAGGCGGGGACAGCAGTGGGGTCTGACCCCTTTGGGCGGCACACACCCACAACTCCCCTTTCAGTTCTGGGGCAGCAGGACGAGGTGGAGGATGAGGGCTGGGCTCTCCCTCCAGGTGGAGGATGAGGGCTGGGCTCTCCCTCCATATCGGCTCTGCTCCTTCCCTCTTCTTGCTGGTGGCATTGCCTGGCTCTGCTCCTTCTCGTAGGGTGCCAGTACCCAGTGCTGCCCTTGGCCAGCCCTTCTCCACTGGCTTCAGTGTCACAGGGCTGAGCTGACAAAAGAGCCAAAATGCTGCAGCCCCCTCAGCTCAGCCAGGTGTGCAGAAGAAGGCATGTCTGGGAGGTTTAGGGACTGAGATATTATCTTTTCTTAAGAGAAGTAATAAAACAAGCAGATGCCTGGGGAGAGATGGTGCATGGCACTCTGGAATGTGTCTAAATAACATGTTTATTTTTGATCAGTGATACTGGTTGCATTGTGAATATGCTTGTGTCATTCCTTCTGCTTAGCTACCTGTGCACAATGGATAGCTTGACAACATAAGAACAGGCTTGCTCCCTGAAAAACTCCCCCCTGCCAGTACTTATCACAGTCATACTGAGCTAACGTTACTGCAACCTCCACCCTGTCCTGCTACATCAGTTTCCTTCATCTTTAAATCACTTCAGGTATAAACATTATGACAGCCTTGGAAAGAGCCTGGTACAGAGATGATGGGTCTTCATCCAGCCATTTTGGAACACCTCTGCCTTAGATAGGAGAGAAGACAAGGAAGGGAATGTAATTTCTGAAAAAGGATAGGTGGAATCTTTGCATAACAGTGGGCTTTCTCCTGGGGATCCTGTCCCTCGTGCTGAAGCTCTGAAATCCCTCAATCCCTTGTGCTCTGGCTCTGAAAACATGAATCCAAGGATTACCAATAACTCTAAGAGTCTTTGAGTTAAATAATTTTCCTCGGAAATGAAAAGTGTCCCAGTAAATATTATTTAAAATAATTGCAAAAGAAACTCATTCTGATGTCCTTCAGAGCCATTACTTGTCTCTGCACCCATCAGTTCTTTCAAACTGCGTTCTATGCTCCCTGCCATTTTCAGTCTCAGAAACAAAAGAAACATTTCTGGTATGACAGTGGTGTTCTTTGCTTTGTGTGTTGATTACTGCCTCCTCTCAAAGAACTTCCCTTCTTTAAATGAGCAGTTTTTGACCAACCCCTTCTCCTTCCTGGCTCCTAATAGCCCAGATTCCTGGTACAGGACTTTCATTTCCTGGGAAGGGGAGAGATTTGGTCAAGAAAAGGGCAAAGAGACCTTTTAAAATACTGAATTCAGTGTTACTGAGTGTGTCCCATAAACAGAAACTTTCAAACCTGTGAATTACCTGGTAGAGCATCCCTAATTAGTGAGAAGACCTTGTTTCTGGAAATGTAATAGAAACGGACTGCCTGGTCCTTCAGTGGGAACATAATACTCTGCAATGTTGCGAACAGGATCACTTCTGTATGCAATCCCAGGTATGAACAGCCTAGTACCTGGAAACCTAGGGTTAGGGGGTAGAACCCACTGAAACTGTGCTGAGTTCATGTCTTGGACTTGCTCCTTTAACACAGGGGCAAGTATCACACTGTCTTTCACACTCCGCAAGTGTGGAAGCTGAAGCAAGAACGGGCAGCGATAAGTGGAGAACAGTTGAGACTGTGACTGTGATCACTTTGGCCAGAAAGAACCTTTTTGTGCTTTTGAAGCCCGTGAGTAAGTTAAAAAATTTCATTAATCACCTCCTTTAGGACTTTCAACAGTATGCTGATTAACGTTTCACTCATGGCAACCGAGCCATTCCTCTAGATGTAGTTTCCTGGAGGTATCCTGTGCCCATCCACTTACCAGATCACCAAAGAATGCGCCAAGCCTCCTTTAGAACATTAGCCCTACCTGCTTTCATGATGATGTGTTCCCAAGCAGCAAGTTGCCCTGATATGGATGACTGAGTATTGTATGTAGAGAGACATTCTGGGAGAAGTACATAACTCTCAGTAAACAAGGGGTCTGAAAACTTAACCCCAGAAATGAGGGTATGCCAAAGGAGATCCAGGAAGACCTGCACTTTCTCTCTTCCAGAAAG